TGGTGGAAAACACCGAAACGTTTTTTTAATTGATAAATAGACAATAAATGACTGAAGAACCCAGGATTTGATTTTAATTTGGAATTGAAACACAGTCAGGAAAGTACGTACAATTATAATATAATATAAAAATAAAGCTCGTTCCCTTGTTTAATGAAAGTGGCATTTTGCGCCACCCTATATGTTGCGCTTGCTTTGCCACATTACTAGCAGTGATAAAATAAGCCGTAAACGTAAATAATAAAATTACATCGAATTGTATTGTTTTACACTTAGCAAATCTTACGTGTGTTAATTAGTCGCTTGTTTTATTTGCTGTGATGATAAACTGAAATATAAAATAAAAACAAATGCGGAGCACGCTGTTCTAAACCAGTTCCCGTTGAAAATTAGCGCGGATTTTACAAAGCGAGTTGCTCAATGTCATAAAAGGTATAAAAGCATTAATTACTCAGTCAATGTACGAGTATTTGCTCAAAGCCTGCTTAATTTAATTCAAATTGCCTGCATACAGTTTGCCGAAATTGCATTGAGCCTCAACGAGATTTATTAAACTTGTTGCGCTCGAAAACTTACCCCAACTTTTACCGGTTCTTCCAAAAACTGCATTTGTACTTGGATTGTAAATGGCTTTTTTGAAAGATTCCCATTTTGTCTCATACGAAGGTTCACGAAATCGACCATCGATGTATTCGCCGTTATCTTCGGGTTTGCCCACAACCATGTTCAAACAATCCTGAACCACACTTAACGGTAAAAACGAATATTCCTGCTAATAGCCGATCCACACTATCCCGTGCTCAAGTTAGCAGGACGGCAAACACTGAGCTGAACATTGAGCGATTCTTTAAAACATTTTGATAAAATGTTATCTGGCTGCTTGACTCCTCGGTGCGTACGCTGCAGGAAGAAACTTGTCCGCAGGCGCTCGCAGGAGGTACTGCCACTGTTTTTATCAAGATGGAAAATCGTAGGATGGAAAACATGCTAGGTTCAGTAGCGTAACATTCGAATTATAATCATGCGATCTAGATTATAAAAACAAACCCCTCTTTAATCTGACCTCACGCTTGATTGCATACAGAAAAGTTGATAGTCTGTTGTTGCTGGTGCGGTGAATTCGTCCAACCACAACTACTGGAAATTTCGACCTGCTATAACAAGAATGACGAAAAGAATAGGAACTTTTGAAAGAAAATAAAATATTATGCGCGATGTATTCCTTTTGTATATATTTTTACTAATTTCATCCGTTAAAGTTTCCATTTATATTTGCATTAGATTACTGTTACTAAAACAGCTACAAGAGAAAAGAAAAATTTTACTAAACCAAGTCATAATCACTTGATATTTGCTCTTGCAGAGTTATACTCTACTCTAAAGAAAAAGAAAAAGGGCAGTCCCCAGATAGCACACAAATATTGCAGTAATATTATTTTAATATAGGTTGAAGCGACAGATTCTTGAATATTATAACAGTATTTCTTATAAATATTTCTTTGACATTTAAATCAGATATTTAGGAAATATTTTTTTTTGCAATATTTAATATAGGTTGACGCGACAGATTCTTATATATTATAAAAATATTTCTTGTAAATATTTATTTGACATTTAAATCAAAT